TCAGCTGACCGTGTTGCCATCAAATTGGGGCATTTGATGTCCAAAGACTCTGTGTACTGGTTCCATCAAGAAGATCCGGTTTGAGATGGAACTTCAAATGCTGGACTGGTTTACCATATTTTGCAGGGATCAAAAGCCATCATGGATAGAAGCCGCAGAGATGACCTTGGAGAGCTCATCCAAAACTGTTAAGCCAACGACAGGTTTTAGAAGGATGAGCCCAGGAAGGTGGGAGATGATGCGGGGGGGGGGGGGGGAGAGAATCTGCTCCAGTAGCAAAACTTCTGAGGCAACCAACCGTGTTTTGAGAATCGCTACCCTGAAATCAAAGTTGAGCGGATGGCCATTTAAATTTGCATTTGTTTCAATACATAAAGCATTTGAAGAGAACATACAATTAGTTCGGCTACCTCAGAGCCAACTCACCATTGCTCGGTTGGCTCTGGGAATTGGTTCCCCTCCAGCATCCGTTCTCCATGCAATCAGGAGCAGCGTCCCTTGGCCAAGTCCTCTTGCAGCTGGGCAGCCTGGTGCCTCACACCCACACCTGGGCCCCTCCTTTCGCTCAGGCAAGGGGAGAAGGAATTGCCTGGGCCAAGCGGAACCGGGTGCCCCCTTCCAAGGATGGAGTTGGGAAGCAGGGGATGTGCCCTCGAGGCAGGGATAAGCCACCTGAGGTCCAGGGAGCCTCTGCAGCGTCTCAGCCGCCCAGGTCACAGCTGTCCCAACCGGGCTTCTAGTCAAGAGGCAACTGGGCTTTGTTTTTCCTCGAAGACCTTACGCTTCTCACCCAAGAAGCTTCTTCAGGTCACAACTGACGCAAAGAGCTGAAGAAGCTCCTGGGGTGAGAAGCGAAACATCCGCTGTGCAGTGATTCAATGCCCTTGGGGGGCTAGTCCCAGGGTTGTTAAGGAAATCCAGATTCCCCCATGACTGAGCTCGTCAGAAGGTCGCAAAAGGGGATCACGGTGACTCTGAGAACACTGCAATTGTCGTAAATATGAGTCAGTGGCCAAGCGTCCAAATTCTGATCACATGACCACGGAGATGCTGCGATGGTCGTAAGTGTGAAAAATGGCCATAAGTGACTGTTTTTCGGTGCCGATGTAAATGAATGGCTACAAGTTGAGGACTCCCTACCCATTGCTTCCACCAGTAGATCCTGGGGATTGAGGAACATTTTTCCGATTTGTTCATTTTCATAAGTATCCCAACACTTTATTTGAAAACCTCCCTTTTCCCTCTGGGAAGAGCCGTTTCCTCCAAAATGAGGCCAATTCCGGGAGCAGGAAAGGCGTGTCTTTTGTTTAGCCAAGAGTTTTGCTCGCCTCATTCTTTCCTTAAGGCTGTTAACAGGCATTCTTTATTTATCCTCCTACAGGAGGTGGGCCTTGCTTCTTTACCTGCCGCTAGCAGAAAAGCTTCAGATTAATTTCTAAGGCCAGGAGCCCCTGGGGTGAGTTTCAGCAGGAAGACCTCATGCTTCTGTCCACCCTCCTTCTTCCTCCACCCTCTTCAAGGTTTTAGGATGAGTCTTGAACTGCACACACATAGTATTTTTTTTAATCTTCCCCAATTCTGAGTTGGGCAGAGGAGATTGGTTTTGCCAGCAATGCAAACAAAATAAAAATAAAGTTAATAGAAAAGAATATTTGTAGCTCGGGGTTCAACTCTGGGATCCTTGGGGCTCTTTGAGCTGGGTAGTTTTCTTGCATACGTCTCATGACCCAACTAGGGAACATCATCCGTGGTAGAAGAGAGTCGGTTGTGTGGAGTGTATTCACATATATATGAAAAGATAACTTTCAACCAACAAATAACAAAAGCCTCCTGTAGCTCTTTAGAACAGTAAATTTCAAAAAATGAATTTACAAAATAGAAAATTTTAACAATGTACTGTTTAGTTCCGTTCAGCTCTGTATTCACACAAGAATGTCTGCTTATGAGTGGGGAATGATGCAATTTATTCTAGATTACTCAACAGGGATTAAAAATGAGCAATAGGATGGAGGGGAAAAAAGAGAAGAAGGGATCATTATTTTGTTTCGTATTGAATTTCCTGAAAATCCTGTCCCTGACGAATACAAATATTATTCATGGAATTAAAGATTAACTTATTTGTCTGCCACCACTCTTTAAATGTCAGGAGATTCTAAACAGGATTAATGATTGCCAAAAAAAATAAACAGAGCCAAGATTCACAAGATAATTTGTTAGCCTTTCTCATTCAGGGAAACGAATTAAGTCAGAAAGGAACGTCGGCAAAATTGGAAAGGTGTTTTTAGTTTGGTATAAATCAACTTCCTCCCAAAAATATCTTGGAATATTTCATGTTGGAAGAGACTCAACGAAGCAACATGCAGATCCAATTTCTACTCTCCTGATACTTCAATCTTTGTGGGGTCCTTGGTGATCTCTCAGCTTGGTGGTTTTCTTGCAGATGTTTTATTACCCAACTAGGCAGCAGTATCAGTGCTGATTGGAGCACTGATGATGTTATCTAGTTGGGCAATGAAACATCTTCATAAAAACCACCAAGCTCAGATAATGCCAAGAACCCCACAGTCCTCCTCCTTCTCCTCCACACACATCACTCCCTTCTAGCACTGATGATGGTACCTAGATGGGCAATAAAATGTCTGCAAGAAAATCACCAAGCCCACAGTTCTCCTCCTCCTCCTCCTCCTCCTCCTCCTCCAACTCCACTCCCTTCTAGCACGGATGATCTAACCTAGTTTGGTAGCGAAATGTCTGCAAGGAAACCACCAAGCTCAGAGAGTACAAAGGAGCCCTTATTTCAACCTTGAGCCGCAAACATTCCCTTCTATCAGTCCACAAATCTCTAATCCTATTGGAGCATTGGAGCCAGGCTACCTGTCCTTCCGCTCTGCCCACAACACCTGATGGTTTCCTGGGGCTTTTCTTCAACCCCGCCTGGCCCTTTGGCTACAAACCCAGAAACCTTTCTTATCGCTCCTCCTTGGCCTTGTTTTGTCTTTTGAGAAAGCAAAATGTTGTGTTTTTTTTTACAGCTTCTTCTCCTCCTCAAAGCTTTCTCAATGCATTAACCTGTCTGCCCTTCGCACAAGACGCTTCCCAGAGAAAACTTGAGTAAAAGGTTTTCAGCTTGTTTCGACAACAGAAAAGCAGGGGGAACACCACTCCCAAACGATGAACAAACAAAATGAAGGAACAAAGAAGTCAACATGGCTGAACCTCCACTCATTTTCGAGTGTAACCATGCCAAAGTAGACTCGGGTGAGATGTTCCTTTAACCATCCCTTTGCAGTCTTTGAGGGCAGAATTAAGGATGATGTCTAGTTGGGGCAAGAATTGGGCCTGTCTAGTTTAATGAAAAGAAGGACTAGGGGGTGACGAGATAGCAGTCTTCCAATGTTTGAGGGGCTGCCCCCAAGAAGAGGAGGGGGTCAAGCTATTCTCCAAAGCACCAGAAGGCAGGAGAAACAGCAACAGATGGAAACTAACCAAGGAGAGAAGCAACCTAGGGAGGACAATTAATCAGTGAACGATTTGCCTTCAGAAGTTGTGGCTGCTCCATCCCTGGAGGCTTTCAAGAAGAGACTGGACAGCCACTTGTCTGAAATGGTATAGTCTCCTGCTTGAGCAGGGGGCTGGACTAGAAGACCTCCAAGGTCCCTTCATTCTATTCTATTCCATTGCATTCCATTCTCAAATTCTATTCTATTCTATTTTATTCCGTTCTGTTCTGTTCTATTCTATTCTATTATCTCCATTTCTCTTCTCTTCTCTTCTCTCCTCTCCTCTCCTCTCCTCTCCTCTCCTCTCCTCTCCTCTCCTCTTCCCTTCCCTTCCCTTCCCTTCCCTTCCCTTCCCCTTCCCTTCCCTTCCCTTCATTTCTATTTCTATTTCTTTTTTAATCCAAACCAATCCAATCCCATCCAATCCAGTCACTGGGATGACTTGCCTTCAGTAGTGGTGGGTGCTCCAACACAGGAAGTTTTTATGAAAAGATTGGGCAACCATTTGTGCAGAACAGTATAAGGTCTCCTTCTAGAGCAAGGGGTTGGGCTAGAAGACCTCCAAGGTCTCTTCCAACCCTGTTACTTTATGTTCTGTGAGATTTGCATGCTCAAGCAAAAGCAGAAAGCATCATATCCACCGCCCTTCCTTTCTCCTGTAGCTCTTTAATTGAGCCCACTTCTAAGGCAAATTTCTCCCCTTCCCCCTTGAAAAACCAACGTCTTGGCCTGATTAATGGCTGCAATAAAGCAGAAGAAAGAAAACGAAGACCCCCCCTCCCCCCCCCCCCAATCATATAGTACGCCTGTTTCTGGATCCGATAAGTAACTCTGGGAGTGTTTTTCCAGTAAATCTGAAAAGGATATTTGACTCCTAATTATGTAACCATAGCAGCACCAGCAGTAGCTCAATTGCTCTCCTTTTCTCCCCCCTCCCCATAAATTATATATATCTGAAATGGAGAAAGCCTGGAGCAACTTGGAGGGGGATGGATTTTGATCTGGAAAAGTGTGTCATCTCCTTCCAATTCTAGAACTTGATGGAGTCTCGCACAAAAGCAACCTAGATCCCATAGACAGGAACTTTTGCCCAGTACTCATGATAGATATTCCAACTTGCCAGACCAACCTGATTATCCAACAAAGTCGGGACCTAGTTTTGAGATCTCTGAGAAACAAAACCCTTAACAACAACAACAACAACAACAACAACAACAACAACAGGAGTTAAGGGTTCCCTGCAAACTTTTCAATGCCATGTTCCTGGAAAAGCAACCCTGTTGAATCCAACACAAGCCTTCTGCTGTCTCCCTGGCCTACATGACCCACCAGATCTGGGAGGCAGGGAATGTTAGGGGTCCCTTCTCCTAGGGAGGCCCATCTAGTGCAAGGGTCAGCAACCTGCAGCTCTTAAACTGAGAAGATCCTAAGCGGGAGGTCCCTTCCATAGGTTGGGCTGGCTTAGATGGCCTTTGCTCATCCAGGGCCAGCAGGACTTACGTTGTAGAGGATGTCGGTCCATCCTTCCATGGTGATGCACTGGAAGACGGTGAGCACAGCAAACAAGATATTGTCGAAGTTGGTGATTCCAAAGTTGGGGCCCTCCCAGTATTTTTTGCAGGTGCCTTCTTCACAGGGCCTCGCGGGCCAGTCTTCACCACATGGGAAATCTCCCAGCCTCTCACCTGCAGGGATAGTTTTTAAACAAAGTCATCAGAAAGATGGAGCCGTCAAGCCTGAATTTAGTTAGATTATGGACTGGGGGTATTTTGGATGACTTCTATGAACTCAGTTTGATACCCTTGGGAGAGGAAAGGGGGGAGGCCTGAGGTGGATGGAGTTCCAGCCATAACAGCATAGCTGGGTGATGAGTCAGCCATGTTCCAACCGCTGGTTGACCAGAGGAAGGAGGAGCGAAGTCTCTAAGCAACCGGTTCACATCCCGGTTGGACAATGTGATCGATTGTTTTGGAAAATTAGAAAAATACTGCTTATAGTGACGTGGAAACCCCAGGAACTTTCACTACTGGCTTTCCACTAGTTAGTGCCAAGATGGTGTATCTAAATAAATTGGTTCTTTGAGAAAACAGAATGCCTTGGAGTTCGTTTTATAATGGACACATTACTTGGAACCTGACATTCATATGAACTTCAACCATTGTTCTCACTCCAGAAACAAGCAAGACCACAGACAGGTGGCTTTTGACCACAGTGGAGCCCAAGATTTCTGTCACTAAGCAAGAGAGCTTTTAAGTGAGTTTGGCCCCATTTCATGAGCTTTCCTGCCGCAGTTTTAGAAGGGAATCCACGCAGCCGTTAAGTTAGTAAGACGGTCGTTAAATCAATCTGGCTTCCCCATTCGACTTTGCTGGTCAGAAGGTTGCAAAAGGGGATCTCGTGACTCCCCAGGGACACGGCCACCATCATAAAGTGGGCAAACATTTGTCTGAAATGGCACAGGGTTGGCTTGAGGGGGAGGTTGGACTTGGATTGAAGATCTCCCAAGGTCAATCAGTCGATCAGAATAGAGCTGGAAGGGACCTTGGAGGTCTTCTAGTCCAACCCCCTGATCAAGCAGGAGACCGTAGACCATTCCAGGCAAATGGCTGTCCAATCTTTTCTTAAAAACCTCCAGTGATGGAGCACCCACAACTTCTGGTGGCAAACCGTTCCACTGGTTAATTGTCTTCACTGTTTGGAAGTTTCTCAATTCCTGGTTCCATGATTACTTTCCATCCATTGCTTCTTGTCTTGCCTTCTGGTATTTTGGAAGATAATTTGACCCTTTCCTCTTCTTTGCGGCAGCCCCTCTAATACTGGAAGGCTGCTATCATGTCACCCGTAGTCCTTCTTTTCTCTAGACTAGCCAAACCCAAATCCTGCAATCGTTCATAAATTTTTTTGTCTCTGATCACCTGGGTTGCTCTTCTTTGCACTTTTTCCAAAGTCTCAAATCTTTTTTGTAATGTGGCAACCAAAACTGGGTGCAGTATTCCAGGTGTGGCCTTACTTTAAGGTCCCTTCCAACTCTGTTCTTCTGTTATTTAGTTATTCCATGGTTATTGAGCCGTGGTGGTGCAGTGGTTAGAAGGCGGTATGCAGGCTACTTCTGCTGACTGTCAGCTGCCTGCAGTTCAGCAGTTCGAATCTCACCAGGCACAAGGTTGACTCAGCCTTCCATCCTTCCGTGGTGGGTAAAATGAGGACCCAGGTTGTCGGGGGCCAGAGGCTGACTCTGTAAACTGCTTAGAGAGGGCTGGAAAGCACCGTGAAGCGGTATATAAGTCTGAGTGCCATTGCTAATACTATTCTCTCCCCCACCTAAAAGCTGTCTTGTTAGACTGGTCTTCTCATCACCCACCTGTTTCATTGGAGAAGCAAGCTTTGTGAAATTTGCCCATGTAGAATTCCAGACCGATGATGGCAAACATCACGATGGCGAAGAAGAGGAGGAGGCCGATCTGAAGGAGGGGGACCATTGCCTTCATGATGGATTTGAGGACAACTTGTAAACCTGGGCAAGAAAAAAAGAGAGAGAGAATCAGTCCATGGAGGATCTTAGCAAAGAGAGGAGTCCAACCGGAAAATATCTCAGGGGGGATAAAGACATTCCTCAAACATTGCTGACTTCTAGCCCAGTTCTCTGGGGATTTTCACCAGCTTGAGTTCAAATCCAGATCTTGGTTTGCTCAGGCTGAACTTCACAAGAGCCTATCAAAGAGTGTTCATTTCTCAAGCAATTTCTCCAAGGAATATACCAGCCATTTCTTGGCGGCCGTTCCTGGAATCTCACAAAACTTTAGCGAAGCTGAACTATTGTAGGATGATGACAATTTAGAAACTTCTGTGTAATCCAAGTGTGGCCTTATGAAGGCCTTATAAAGTGGCACTAATCCCTTCGTGGGAAGTTGATTCTATCCCTCTGCGAAGGCAAAGGGGCAAAGCATGATGAGATGTGGAATCAAAGTTATACCGCATTCTTCCACTTACTTGGGATTCCTGAGACAAGTTTCAGGGGTCTCAGCACACGGACGGCTCTCAGAGTTCGAAGGTCAAATTGGGTCCCAGCTGTAGCCAGAATCCTACCAAGGACAAGAGAGAAAGAGAGGGGAAATAGCATTAGTGTAGCAGAAGGAGAGGCAGAGCTGGCGGGTGGAGTCAAGAGAGTAATCAGCCTAGAAATGGGCTAAGTCCAACCCCTCTTGAATTCTACTGGTTCTTATCTAGCACCAATTTAGTGCTGACTGTTAGGTGGCTAGATTCCTGTGTATAGCCATGAGCAATAAAGCAGCTGAACTGGAACATAAAATGTGATCCTGATTCTCTCCTGCATGGCAATTAGAGTGTCATCTTTTGGGACTAAAGATCTTGCATCTATTCGCGCAGTAACAACCATTTGCTCCAACAAAACTCATCTCAAACTTCCCCCCAGGACAAGTTCCCTGTAGTCATCACCTTAAACTGCTCATTTGTAAAACGGGAATGGCAGAAACTGGGGGTGGAGTCAAAAGAGAAATCAGCTTAGAATCCCTACGTAGCCACAAGTGTACTTTATGGTGTACTCCAACCTTTCCTGATTTCCGTGGATCCTTATCTAATGCCCAGCAGGCGCCAACCCTTAGTTGAGAAGATTCCCATGCATAGGCTGTTTAGAAATAAATCGGTTTAATTGGACCTTCGTGGGTGGACCATGACTGACAAGGGCTGGCAGATATCAAAACATCCATGGTCCAGATGTTCCTTGTCAAACTGCCTCATCTCTGACCCAGGAGTTCTCAGGTGGCCTGAAGGGTGATATTGCCCTGCACGAATATTCACCAATAAAGGCGAATATTCGTAGCTCAGGATTGACATGAAGGCCCCCGGCGCCCTCTGAGCTTGGTTGTTTTCTTCCAGACGTTTCGTTACCCAACTAGGTAGCACCATCAGTGCTAGGTAACTTAATCACTTAGCCCCAGTGAAGGTACACAGTTGGGTGATGAAGTCTGCAAGAAAACAACCGAGCACAGAGAGACTCAACTTTAAACATTTTTCTCAGTTGAGAGGATTCTTATTTTATAAAGGGGGAGGTTGAAGCTTATGGTCTTGGCAGGTAACTTTGTCTGAAGTTGGAAGGCTTTGAATGAGACACCACCAGGAAATCTCAAAAAGTAGAACACACGGGCAGGACAAAAACAAATCTGGCCACCGTTTTTCTGTTGTTGCCAAGAACACAACGTGGACACATCCGTCAAGTTGAATTTGACTCAAAGGAGATTTTATCCTTTCAAGTTCTTATGAAAAAAAATGAATCAACCAAATTTCCCTCATTGGCAAAGAGTTCAGAAGCCATCAATCCAGCAATAGGGGGGAAAAAAAGACGTGGCCCAGGAATAAAATTAGAAGTTGTAAATTGCTGGAGGGAAGGGCAGATGAAACCGGTCCAAAACGGTATTTTGACTCTGTTTATTAACTGCTGTAAAGGCGTAGATCAAAGTGACAGCTCAAGAGGTGTGGAGAGAAATATAAAGCCAACACCTGTTGGCGATGCCTCCTGCCTTAAATATTAAAATATTATCTTAAAAGACAGATAAGAAATGCATTCACAGTTGCAAAGAAGGGCCTGTTACATCTAACTGATCTTTTTTTGGGGGGGGGGGGGAATTTGTCACAAGAGACCCTTGGAAATAGACCTTATTCTCTCCTGGATTTCACTGAAATGGTTTTATGGTGGACGGTCCTGCACGAAATGTTTTAAGAGGTTTAGTCTGGAGAAGAGAAGAGAGGCCGGGTCACTGTTTTCAAATACCCCAAAAGATGTTGCTGGGATAGAATTTACAGAGATGAGAAGGAAATAGATGATGGAGAACATTTGAACAGTGATATTAAAACTGTGAAGTGATGGGTGATGGGTTGTTTTTTTCTTTTCTTGGAGCTATTTGATTTAGATCTGTATCTATCTAATATTTTGAAACTCCAAGGGACTTAAAAGCCATTTTAAAGTACGCAATAATGAAATACCCAAAACAAACAAATAAGAGCCACGGTTATTTAACAACAAAGCCATTACAAAATGTATGTTGTGTGGTCCTTGGTGCTCTCTGACCTCGGCAGTTTTCTTGCAGATGTTTCTTTACCCAGCGAGGTAACACCATCAGTGCTAGAAGAGAATGCATGGATGATTTTACCTAGTTTCATTTATTCAATTCTGATGACACCCCACCCCATCTCCTCTATCAGGCAACTCATTTCGTACTTGGATAATGAAATGTCTGCAAGAAAACTATCAAACTCAGAGAGCACCAAGTCCTCCTCCTCCTCTACCCACTCTCCACAAATCCCACTCTTTTCTAGCACTGATGATGTTAGCTAGTTGGGTAATGAAATGTCTACAAAAAACCCACCAAACTCAGACAGCACGAAGGACTCTAGACCTCCTCCTTCTCCTCCTCCTCCTCCTCTTCCTCCACTCCACAAACCTCACTCCCTTCTAGCACTGATGACATTACCTAGTTGGGTCATGAAAGGTCTGCAAGGAAACCATCAAGCTCAGAGAGCACCAAGGACCCCTCATTTCAACCCAGAGCTACAAAGATTCTCTTCTAAAATGTAGGTGGCCTAAGGTCCACCATCCTGAAGGGCAATCCTCCATGGACCAGAGGGTCAGACAAAGATGATACCCAATACCCGTCCGAGGCTCTGAGCCTGGGAGAAAAAAGTGAAAAAGATTTCTGGACACACAAACAAACCCCTCATTAAAAACTCGCTTTGCTTTACGTATAGCAGGATGGACCTGCCTGCTCCCACAAAGACATTTATTTGTCTTGAGTGTGGCACCCAGTTCCTCCCTCAAGATTCTACCATCAAAATTAAGCAGATCCATCCTGTTGTGAGTGATTTTTGTGCATATGAGCTGTTGGGAGTGATTTTTCAGGAAGTTAAAAGTCAAAACTCTACCAATTTAATGAAAACATGTGACAAACCCGTCCCCCCGCCCCCCCAAAATTGGGATTTCTTGGCTTCTATGTTTGTTTTTCAGGCTGAAGGTTTCCACTTCAAACTCAGGTTCAAGCATCTCCAAAACCTACCCCATAGGAAAAATGATTCCGCAAATGGGTTCCAACCCTCCCTGCAATTAGTTAAACGGTCCTTTCCGTCTCTCTCTCTGCTCATTGCAATGCATTCCTGCCAGGGATGGACTCTCCACGAATTCTCTCCCATCTGTCTGCGCTGATTATTTTTTGTGTGTTACTCTCCATCATGGCTCACATTTTAAGCAAGATCTTTGCAAGATGCATTCTGCTTTGCCAAATAATGAGCTCAGCTTTTACAGATACCACCCAAATCTTCCTTTGTCACTCAAGGAGAGCTACGTGAACCTTTCCAGGATTGTGAAGATTAAAAAAGAAAAACAGGACAACTTTTGAAGCTCTTGTTCTCAAAGGAGAGATCATTCCCCAAATCCTTAGCAATGCTCTCATTGTGCAAAAAAAAAAAAAAGAGGAAAATTGCCTATTTTAGCTTTTCTTGGCCATTTTCCAAATGCATAAGAAAGCTGTGGAGACAAAAAAATGTTCTGTATGCATTTCTCCTAGAATATGGAACTTTATAAGTGGGTTTTGGCCAGAGGTGGTATTCAGCAGGTTCTGACCAGTTCTGGAGAACCGGTAGCGGAAATTTTGAGTAATTTGGAATACTACCTCTGACTGGCCCCACCCCCATTTCTTCTCTGCCTCCCATCGAGTCCCAGCTGATTGGCTGGGTCTTCTTTGGTTGCCCTGCACAGGAGAACGGAGCTGGAAAGCAGGTGAGTGGGATGGGGAGGGAATGGGAATTTTACAGTATCCTTCCCCTGCCACGCCCACCAAACCATGCCACATGCACCAAGCCACGCCCACAGAACCGGTAGTAAAAAAATTTGAATGCCATCACTGGTTTTGGCCAATTAAGATGGTTTGAGGGGCAATATATTTAAATTTTTGAAAACAACGTACAATGCAAATCTCTGGATTTGCTTTTTATGCTAAGATATCTCTCTCTTTTTTTTTAAGTATCTCCAACTGAGTTGAAAGACAGTAATAATAATACATTTCCGAGTTTGAGCTATCAGGAGTCCAATTTGATTTAAAAGAGCTTTTGTCTTTCCCCGAGGAGCCAATCCTGGCTGATCTCAGAAAGCTTAGCTAGAAGGGAGGCCACCTGGAGATCACAGGACGGGTCACTAGACTGGGAATGTTAAAACCCAAATTTCCCAAAAGAAAGAAAGGATGAATAACTTTTTTTTCTCCTTCACTGCTGGCAGGAAAATTCAGTTGACGTGTTCACATAGTCACTAGGAACTGAACTCAGCTTGAAGGAGAATTGACCTTTGCTTAAAAAACTGCATTGCAGATTTTTAAACAGCTAAAACTCTTGGTGATTTTTTAAAAAAGAAATTTAACAACCAACTCTCTATTCATCCAACCCCAAACATCATCAGTCCATGTTAGAAATGCTGAAAAATATTCTCAGGAAGAAAAGCATATTGGAGTCTCCCTAAGTCACCAAAACGTAACAGGGCTATGAATCATGGAGTTTGTAGTATTCACAATCCGGAAAATAATACTATTTGTGGAGGGAGGTGGGGACGAAATAATTTCCCTGAAGTTAAAAAAGGAATAGAAAATGGCAAGACCAGCACACTTCTGACTTCACCTCACTTCAACTTCTTTTTCACTTCGCTTCGCTTTATCTATGTGAAACCCACCCAGCTACCGTTTCAAACAATAACTTAAATCATTTCAAAGAAAGGACAAACAAGCCTGCAAAAAATAAAAATCAATAAGCTTTAACTAACAAGAGCAGGCAGAAGCTGCTTTCCATATTTCCAAGTAAAACATTGCAATGTCTGTAAACAGCTCAAAAATTGGTAAAAGACCAACCAGATACCCATCCAATTTCTTGAAGCAAGGAGTTCCACCGGTCATGGCAGTCAGGTTTTGGCTTCTAGGTGCTTGCTAAGAAAGGATTTTTCGAAATGACCATCAGAGCATTTAGAGTATTTCCTATATTATTATTATTCACACGCTCTGATGCTAAGGAGTTCTACTCCCCCTCCCCACCT